CATATTTATTTTGATCAGATACTTCTGTAACACAAAGGATGGCTTCCTTCTTTTGTGGATGCCACCTTGAGAAGAAGAGATAAATCGGTGATGATGGAGTTGATAAATGGTGGAACAGAAGGAATAATGTAAAGGAAGTAGCTACACGAATTAATGAGAACAAAAGTAGTAGATATTAGGGAAATATTGTAGCAAGTATAGATAGGATATAAAGACCCATAGAGCTGTTGATCTCTCTGGAAACTTACTTGTGCTCCTTGTTTCAAGTCTCTTTTCTCTTTTTTTGTGGAACAGTTGGCTAAGTCACACATTCGTGACCAGGAAACTTCCTTCTTAGAGTAATTTAATCTTGCTAAACAAAAGAAAGCATTGTTGCATAAGTCAAGTATATACAAGATGTTCCTGTAAGGGAAAGTCATAAATTGTATTTTTTTCACCCACAAAGTTTTTACTAAATTCTTTTAATCTTTTGCTTTAACTTTCAGGCCTGGGAATAGCAGCACAGAGAGACGGTTCAAAGAAGAGACCGTTATTGACTATTTTGATGTACAAGACTGATGAGATTAACATGGAATTGCACTGTTGAAAATTGGAAATGAAATTACAAATGTGTTCAGGATATTTTTTGTCAAAATATATTGTTTTATATATTTGAAGTTTATCATGTAAACAGCAGAGGAAAAAAAAGATTCATCATTTTTAAATAAGGCAAGGTTACAACTATTTGTGATTGAATAATTTAAATGGGATCTAGTCACAATTATATATATATATGCATCTACAGTCAGCTTCTTATGTAAACCATTGAGTGCTTAATCAGAGGTATGTAAAGAATTCCTGGTGCAACTTAGAATCTCATCTATGTTGTATGTAGATCTCAAGGATCGGGAGTAGTACCAGCAAGCATCACCTATTCTACCTCTCTTGAAGGCATAAATATGTGTGGGGAAAACTTTAAAAAAGAACTAGTATAAAAAAAAAATTCAGCAGAAACCTTACAGGGATTATTAATAAAGTATAAGTGACAATTCTGATTATATTTGTAAACTGAGATGAACTGCTAAAAGACTACAGTTAAAATCATAATATTACACAAAATATTCCCATAAGAATTTCAGATGCATGTTGTTAGTAACAATGGAATCGATGATCAAGAAAATGGCACAATTTGTTTCTAAACTTTGGTGGCCTTTTTCATCACTCTTTCTTTTAACTGCAAGACCCTTTCAAGATTGTGATTGTGCAGTAAGGAATTAATTTTGTGGTTCTTTTAATTTGACAACACTATAATTCCTAGCAACTCAAGGCAACATAGTGGTAAAGGAAGTACTGGAGCACAATAGATTTTCTGTCCCTTGTATGGTTCATTTTTGTAAATTTATACATTTGGGGTGATAATTTGTTTTTGTTTTTTCTTCAGTTAACAGTAGCATATATGATTATGTTTGACTATGGTGATAATGCTACTTTGTTTAAATTAGTAATTCTTACCACATAAAGAAATTATGGGTAACTATGAATGAAGTGGTGGTGGAAGATTTGTCAATGGCATTCTGCTTCTGGAGAGCTAAAATTTTCCTTAATATCTTCCCTCTGTTTAATCTTTCCTGTGCGAGAAATTTCTGATGTCAAAAGTATGTTATCAGGCTACCACCAAATGTGGAAGAATATTATATGAGGTAAGGTAAGTTGGTTACCTTGATTTTATAAATTGGTAGCCTGTTTTCCACAAAATATCTCTGACACCTTATTTCACGTAGGATATCCTGACCTTTTCTGGATTATAGCTTTTGCTCATTAATACTTTGCAAATATATTGATTTCTGGTTTATTTTTCAATGAGGATTTATTTATCTATTTAGCATATGGCATTCAAAGAGGAAAATAATAAACAAGCGTTTTTTATGGCTTGAAAACTAACACGAGAAATAGTCATCTCTCAAATGTAGGAATGCGCTTGAATTTAATTCAAGAGAGAGTGGATTAAATAATATGGCATGTACTCATACCTATTATAATTAAATCTTCTTACTTCCTTTTCATATATAATTAGCCCATGACAAAGTACAAACTAGCATTCTCATAGATATTAATAACCAAATGAATGACGGAACATTATTGTTATGAAGAAACCTATTGACAACATAACGAAAAATTGAGCCATTTTTCTGTTTCCAAATAATAAACTGAAGTTGTGCTACAGTGCACTATGGGGGAGTGTGTATACATGGAAAGTTTTTGAGTCTCCAAAAAGTATAGACCAGGGGTGTCAAAATTGGCGGCTCACAGGCCGGATGTATCACATGCAGGCCACGCCCACCCCAGCTCCGTGAAGGGGGAAAAAACATTGCAATACATCACGTGAAGGCAATATGACGCGGCAAGTTTGACACCTGTGGTATAGACAGATTATATTTAATTTGTTGATGAGTTACCACATTTGTTAGAGAGCTTACAGGCATCGGCAGAAGGGCTGCTAAGGTATATGTGAACTTTGAATAAAACTAAAGAAGAATGTACAATAGATCAATTGGAATGTATGTAAATGTGGAAAGGCAGTGCTTATCAAGTAAACTACAATATAAACCAATTGTATCTTTGCAGAGGAAGGTTGTGGATGTGCATTTCTATTCATTGCTTGTCCTGGACAGAATTGTTTATCTGCATAAATTGATATGCACAGGGTACTAACTTAAAAGCAATATTTGTGTATGTGAACTTGTTGTAAGAAGTCACATATACAGAAAACGTTTATTCATTTTCAGTGCTTTGCATTTTTTATTTATGTGGCGTGGTTTCAAAGTGATTGATCCTGCTATTGCTTGGTGAAAAAGTGCCGTGTGAATATTAAGGGGTTAAACAGATATTTATTTTTAGTGGTTTGGCTAAATTGTGATATTTTCATGAAGAGTTGACCTCTCAGTTTTTTAAATTATACTTTTCATTCATTTCTCATTTAGTTTGTGCAATTATTATAACTGAGAGGGAGAATTCTTTAGAACACATTTTTGCACACTGTTCTTTCCTAAAATTATGGATGGTGCAACTAAGTTTATATATGCAAATAGTGCAGATATAGTGCAAATTCAACAATGTGGGTTAGTAATAGACACACACACACACACACACACACACACTCAGAACTGCTCAGACTATTTAATGCTCTGTGTGCTTTGACTTCTGTATAATCTAATGTGAAAATTACAATGGAAATTATTCTTTAT